ATGCTTTCACATGATATTAACAACTTAATTTTAAAGATCCTTGTATCCTTATTAAATTGGAAATGTGTCCTTTACCTATCCTTACAGTTGCAAGAAAAAGTATGTGAACCCCTTGGGATTACGTGGAGTTTTGCATGAATTGGGCATAAAATGTGCTGTGAACGTCATCTAAGTCACAACAATAGAAGAACACAGTCTGCTGATCATAATACTACACAAACATTAGATGTTGCCATGGTTTAATTGCACATAACATATAAACATTCACAGTGCAGGGAGGAAAAAGTATGTGAACCTTTGGACTTAATAACTGGTTGACCCTCCTTTGGCAGCAATAACCTCAACCAAACATTTCCTGTAGTTGCAGATCAGACCTGCACAATGATCTGGAGTAATTTTGGACCACTCCTCTTCACAAAACTGTTTCAATGTAGCAATATTCTTGGGATGTCTGGTGTGAATCGCTCTCTTAAGGTCATGCCACAGCATTTCAATCGGGTTGAGGTCAGGATTCTGACTGGGCCACTCCAATGTTTTCCTTATTGTAGATGTGTCAACAAAAATGTTAGCATGTGCCAGAGATTTCTGTAGGTCTTTAGCTGACACTCTGGGATTCTTTACCTCATGCAGCATTCTGCGCTGTGCTCTTGCAGTCATTTTTACAGGACGACCACGGCTAGGGAGAGTAGCAACAGTGCTAAACTTTCTCCATTTGTAGACAGTGTGTCTTACCGTGGACACATGAACATCAAGGCTTTTGGAGATACTTAGTAACCCTTTCCAGCTTCATGCAAGTCAACAATTCTTGATCGTAGGTCTTCTGAGAGCTCTTTTCTGCGAGGCATGGTTCACATCAGACAGTGCTTCTTGAAACCAGTAAACCCAAAACAGGTGTGTGTTTTTTAAGGGCAGGACAGCTGTCAGCAACACATCCAATATCATCACACTGATTGGAGTCAAGGCTAGCTCACTCCTGGCTCCAATTAGCTCTGGGAGAAGTCATTAAGCTAGGGCCTCACATAATTTTTCCTCCCTGCACTGTGAATGTTTACATGTTATGTGCAATTAAACCATGGCAACATCTAATGTTTGTGTAGTATTATGTTCAGCAGACTGTGCTCTTCTATTGTTGTGACTTAGATGACGTTCAGAGCACATTTTATGCCCAATTCATGCAAAACTCCACAAAATCCCAAGGGTTCACATATTTTTCTTGCAACTGTATGTTTACTTGTTCTGCACGCTACTCACTTTTGGCAATGATAAAACCCTTTTACATTCAAGAAATTACTTCCTCTAGTGGAGGGATTTACCACATTCTTTACTATTACACCGTGTTCCAAATTATTATGCAAAATGATATTTTTCTTATTTACCTAAATAATTGATGTAAATAACAGTCAACTATTAAGAGTACAATTCAAATTTTATTGAACAAACCTCCTAATAACAGGATTTTTTTTAAACATAAAAAACTTACAATGCACTGTTCCAAATTATTACGCACGGTAAGTTTCAAAACACTTCATAGGTTGTAAAGAACTGAAAATTGTCATTTGTTGTATTTGCAGCATATTTACTGAAATCAAAAGCTATTTCAATCAAACTTTTAACAACATTTTAACTTTTTAAACATTTTAACAGGTCACGTTACATTTTAACATAGGACCCCTTATTTGATAGCAGCTTCACAAGTCTTGCATCCATTGAACTTGTGAGTTTTTGGACAGTTTCTGCTTGAATTTGTTTGCAAGATGTCAGAATAGCCTCCCAGAGCTGCTGTTTGGATGTAAACTTCCTCCCACCCTCATAGATCTTTTGCTTGAGGATGCTCCAAAGGTTCTCAATAGGATTGAGGTCAGGGGAGGATGGAGGCCACACCATGACTTTCTCTCCTTTTATCCCCATAACAGCCATTGATGCAGAGCCATTGATGCTATTATTTGCAGCATGAGATGGTGCATTGTCATGCATGAAGATGATTTTATTACGGAAAGCATAGTTCTTCCTTCTGTACCAGGGAAGAAAGTGGTCAGTCATAAATTCCACATACTTTGCAGAGATCATCTTTACATCTTTGGGGCCCCTAAAGGGGCCGACCAGCTCTGTTCCCATGATACCGGCCCAAAACATGACTCCGCCACTGCCTTGCTGACCTCGCAGCCTTGTTGGAACAGGGTGGCTGTCCACTAACCATCCACTACTCTATCCATCTGGACCATCCAGGGTTGCACGGCACTCATCTGTGAACAGGACTGTTTGAAAATTAGTCTTCATGTATTTTTCTGCCCAATGCTTGTGAGCATTGGTTATTGGTGGCCAAATAGAAGGTTTATGCACAGTTGCAAGACTCTGGAGGACTCTACACCTTGATGTCCGTGGGACTCCAGAGGCACCAGCAGCTTCAAATATCTGTTTGCTGCTATGTAATGGTGTTTTAGCAGCTGCTCTCTTGATCCGATGCATGGATCTGGCAGAAATCTTCCTCAATGTGCCTTTATCTGCACGAACCCATCTGTGCTCTGAATCTGCCAGAAATCTCTAAATAGTGCGACGATCATGCTTAAGTTTTCGTGAAATATCTAATGTTTTTCATACCTCGTCCAAGGCATTGAACTATTTCACTCTTTTCGGCAGCATAGAAATCCTTTTTCTTACCCATATTGCTTGAAAATGGTGTTCTGCTTAATAATGTGGAACACCGTCCTTTAGTAGTTTTTCCTTAAATTGGGCTCACCGGCCAATCTAATTATCACAGGTGTCCGAGATTGTTTTCAGTGATCAAAAAAACCCTGACACACAATGCCATCCATGAGTTAAACTGAAAAACAAAATATTTCATCTTTGTGACACTTAAATAGAATTTGCATAATAATTTGGAACACGTGTATGTTTCCTAGCGCTTCATCTTTCCTATAAATTTATTTAGAACATCTAGATAACTCTTTACTCAGTATTTTGTCTTTTTTCAAAACAGGAGAGTGAGTTTTTATAATCCTCTCTATTTTTTTATAATCACCATTACATTCTGTAATTAATGCATATTCCATAGGTTTACTGTTGTCTTGGGTTTTCTTTTTACCCTGCAACATTTGATTTCTGTCCTTTTTACTCCTTCCTTTACCTCCACCAATGTTTCTTGTTATAACCTTTCTTAATATTTTTTTTCTGTCAGGTTATTACGATGCTCTTCAAAATAATTTTCAAGGTCACAGTTCCTTTTCATTCACATTACCTGACCTTTAGGAATGTTTCCTACCCACTTAGGGTGGTGTAGATCTTATCCCTGCTTTTAAATATAGTGATGTTTGAAAAGTCTACTTTTTCATGACTCCACGTGGACATAAAATGTTAGACTAGATATGGTGTTATTAATTTCTTCCAAAAAACGTTTGAAAGATTCCTCATCATCTCCTCTCCATATATCCAACACATCATCTATGAAGCACCTGTAAAAGGCTAGTTCTTTTTTTCTATTTCTAAAGATGTCCTCTGCTTCCCAATTAGCTATCACTAACTTAGCTAAACTGGGGGCATATTTTGCCCCCATCACAATGCCTTTTTTTTTACATAGTACCTGCTATTGTACCAAAAGAAGCTGTTCTTCATCAGTAACTTTAGGCAATCCAGGCCAAAACTCTTTTGTTCCCCTTCGAGAACATCATCACTTTCCGTTACCCATAGTACGGCTTCAATATCATCTTCTTGCCTAATGCTGGTATATAAACTATTTACATCAATTGTAGCTGAGATAAAGTCTTCCTCCCAGGTAATATCCTCTAACGTTCCTGATAAATCACAACTATCTTTGAGGTAAGCTGGTTGACTAACTACTTTCTCCTCAAGGAAAAAGTCTATATACTCCTCCACATAGCTAAACGCCAAAACAATACCACTGATTATCAGTTTCCCTGGTGGCCCATCTCTTATCTCATGAATTTTTGAGGTGTATTATATAACAAGCATTTTTGGGTTTTCTGGGACTAAGCAGTGCCAACTCTTTTTTCATTGGACTTTTGGATAAAATACCATGTGTCTTCTTCACCCAATAATCTTTCTATTTTTCTTCATAGTCTAATTTGTTAAAAATAACAATACCACCCCCCCCCCACCCTCCTTGTATGCCTGCCTAATTACTATGTTTCTCCTACTTTCAAATTCTCAATACCTTTCTTTATTTCTGGTTCTCTTAGCAATGCTTTTGTTTCCATCTTTTTAATGTCATCCTCAACCATTTTTTTTTTTTTAAAGCTCCAAGTATTGATTAATAGCATTCCTAAAGATCCCCTATACTCCAGCAGCTGTTTTTCATACAACATGTGCTTAAATCAGTATTACTCACAGTGTACAATTCCAGTCTAATAAGAATTAAGGGATCTTTGAAATTAAGTTGTTAATATCATGTAAAAGCACGCATGTCTCCTATGTACTGGAGTGCCCATGTTGCCTCCAATACATAGAACAAGAGAGTTGGGGAGAAGAATGGGGGATAAATGAACAATATAAGAAAAGGCTATACCCAACACAGTGTATCTAGGCATTTTAAGGAATTCCATGGAAAAGATGCCAGCCTGTTAAACTTTTACGCTATCAATAAACTAGAAGGCCACTGGAGGGGAAAAAATAAAAATCAAAAGATTTCTCAGAATGAGACTAAATGGCTATACAGTGTTCAGCATAAATGAATACACCCCCAACAGATTTGTCAGGAAACCTTTACTTTCTTTTCAAAATCAACACTTTCTATGGGACACTATACTACAAAATACTCCCACAAATGTGGGCCATTGATTGTTAACAAGATTTGTTAATTTGCACTCACAAAAAAAGTATTTTTCCTAACAAATGAATTCAAGACCATGTTGCAAAAATAAATACACCCCAATGAAAGTCTTAGGAGCAAAGATAAATTTTAGATAACAAAATCCTAATTAACAAGAATTCAACTATAGGTGAGTCAAATTATTCATTAAACAGGTGTCCAGCAGACAGCTGATTATAAAAGGGCGATGCCTAACAAAGAAAACCCCTTCCAATTTCATGCTGTCAGCAATGGCACACACATTGAACAGAAATGTCTCAAGGCCTGAGATAGAAAATAATTTCTTTACACGAGAAAAGTGAAGGCTACAAGAATATCAGCACATACTGTAGCAAAAGTGATACAAAAATTTAACAAAGATGGAACTGCAACCATCTCACAGGGAAGTCCAGGCTGTCCAGGGAAGTCCACGACAGGAGCGTCTTCTGATGAGAAGGGTTGAAGAAAAATCACCATGCAAGATCACTGCAGTTAGCTAAAGAAGTAGATAGCCAAACTGGGGTGATTGTTTCCTACAACACAATATGGTGTACACTGCAGAGGAATGGCATACATGGGTGTTGTACATAAAATGCCTCTCCTAAAGACAATGCACAAAAAAGCCCACCTAGAATCTACCAGGGCTCGTGCTGAAAAAGAAGACTACTGGGACTGTACTCTGGATTGATGAGACCAAGATAAATGGTTTTTCGAACTGATGGCTTCAAAGCTATATGGCAGTGCAAAGGTGAGGAGTACAAAGAAAAATGCATGGTCCCTACAGTGAAACATGGTGGTGGCAGTGTCCTTTTGTGGGGCTGCATGAGTGCTGCTGGTGTCAGTGAGCTGCATTTCATTGATGGTATCATGAATTCACAGATGTACTGCTCTATATTGAAAGAGAAGATGCTATCATTGCCCATGCCCTTGGTTGTCATGCACTTTTCCAACATAACAATGATCCAAAACACACATCTAAGGCCACTGTTGCATTTCTGAAGAAGAACAGGGTGAAAGTGATTCAGTGGCCAAGTATGTCTCCTGATATGAACCCAATTGATTGCCTATGGGGAATTCTGAAGAGGCAAGTTGAGCATCACTCTCCATCCAGCATCCAGGCTCTTAAGAGGTCGTTCTTGAAGAATGGAAAAAGATAGATTTTGTAATATGTCACCAACTTGTTCATTCCATGCCTAGAAGACTTGGTGCTGTCCTTACAACTCAAGGAGGTCATACAAAATATTAGATGTAGTAATTTTTGTTGTGGGGTGTATTCATTTTTGCATCAACTAATTTGAGTAAAACTGAAAATTTTGTAATCTAAGTTATAATGAGCTAAACAAATGTTCTACAAAACTCAATTTTGGCAAAATTTTGAAAATTGTTCTTGTATTCATTGAGATATTGATAAAAATCTTACTTTTCAAAATGGGTGTACTCATTTATGCTGAGCACTGTACATGTTAGACACATTAGCACCAGAAGGTCTAAACATAGAAATTGATTTATCGTAAATTTCTAGTTCTTGGGTAACTTTTAAAGAAAAAAAATGTTTTAGAAAGGTTTTTCTGGGTTTTAATATTGTTTTATTAATTGTAGAATTGTTTCTATAATAGGGGAATTAGACTAGAAAGTTACCAATTTGAGATAAACATTTGAGGTAATTTACCTCTAGAACTCTTAGGCTAGAAAGTCATCATACACTGACCGCTAAGTATTGCATAGATCAATTTGGTGGTGATATGATAAAGTTTAAACATTTTTTTAAAGAATATGATCAGCATTTGGTATAAAAAAGAATTGGTGACTTTTTGCCAAAGGAAGAGAATTTTGTTTTAAACATACTGAAAAATAAAAATGAAAAGCATGAAAATGATTAAAAGTTGGTATTTAAGACTAGGAAGGCGAGAACTTCCTGTAACACCTCCTGAGGACATCATTAAGATTAATTGTATGTTGAGGCAGAGCTACAGGAAGTGATGTCATCCCGTCCTGGTGGAGGCACCCAGAAGTGGTGAGAACACCTGGATGCTGAAACGGACTGGGCTTGCACTAGGCTGAAGTGGAGCCAGCCCATCACAATAGTAGGCTGTTTAACCCGGGTGAAGGGCAGAATACACAGATTAATGTGAGCACATAAAATTATCTTTTTTTTATGCGTTTGTACAAAGTGGTGGTTTTCATAAAAGGGTTTTACACTATTGGAGTCTTTTTCCCCTCTGATTTATGATGTCCCTGGTGATACTGAGGAAGAAGAGTTGGATTCCTGCAGATTAACCTCTTGGGGGAAAAAGCTTATATAGACCATCTCTAAAGTGAGAGGTCATGGTCATGAGGTGAGTTTTCAAGAATGGTGATGGTGCACAGTGGTGGAGAGAAGCACTGAAGGCAGTACGGAAGTAATAGAACTATTGTTTGCACTATTCTGCACGGAGCACTTTTTATATTATATGGAAGAAGAGAAGTTATTATAATTTGCACAGTTTTGGATGAAGCGCTTTGCATGGGAGAAGAGAAGTTGCATAAACCAATTTGAATAATAGTGCCGCGCTCCTAATTAATAATAAAATATTTAGTGAAAAATCAGTTCATAGCTCACAGGAAAAATATAACAATATAAATAATCTTTATATATATAATTAATAGTGATAAACGTCCATTGTGATAATGTGAATAAAGCAAAAGAAAGTGATAAAAAAAAAAAAAAATAGTCTCTAGTGATGAAAGTGACAGATCCAAATTGAAAAATCGCAATTCCCGGTGACTTCTTATTGTGTTCTCAATATGCGCTCACCTCATTTAAAGTCTACTGAAAGGCACAATCAGCTTTTGTTCACCAAATGGAACTTTAGATCATATATTGCATCATAGCAGTAGTGGTGAGTATCTCCCAATTGCTGCTGGAACGTGGCTCTCCTCTCCTATCACTATCACTGCAGAGATCTCTCACTTAATCTCCTCCTTAGGATATTCCTCAGTACAAAAAAGACAGACATAGTGCCTTATCCTTAAAATATAACAAGCCTTTAATATGTGCCCATATGCACTCACATGTAATATAAAAATAACAAGTGTTTTGACTATAACATCCACAAAATCTCACAGCCAGTTTGTCCGCCGTTCAGTGTATGTACTTGCTGTCCTCGGGTGCCTGGTGACGTCGTAGCCCCTCCCCTACGCGTTTGGAATATTATCATTATTATATTCAGTCCTTTATGTGGATTTTGTGGCATGTTTTTCCACAGCTTTATGGACTTATACATTAGGATTCTTTCCCCGTATATGTTGATGTTGAAGTTTTTTTATGTATGTATTAAGAAAAGTTGAAGATATTTTAATTTATTATATTTATAATATTTGTATTTATATAGATTTATTGTACATATAGAAGGCTAATTGTCTATGATTAGAATGGGACGTAAAGTAGAAGCACGTGGAAAGATATTGTGATTTATTTTGTTAAGAGAGTTATCTACTTGTATACTTTCAAGCAGAAGATAAAGCATAAGGCTAAATTCACAAAGCTAACACACCAAGACAAGGATTCAGATTTTTTTAACAACTTCAATGCCAGGCACGTTTAACCCCTTCTTGCCCAAGCCAATTTTCAGCTTTAGCATTCCCACAGTTTGAATGACAATTGCATGATCATGCAACACTGTACTCAAACTAAATTTTTATCATTGTGTTTACAGAACTAGAGCTTTCTTTTGGTTGTATTTAATCCCCACTGGGGTTTTTATATTTTGCTAAATTAATGAAGAAATACTGAAGATGTTGAAATAAAACATCTTTCTTTGTTTCTGTTACAAAATTTTGCAAATAAATAATTGTTCTTCATAAATTTAGTCCAAGATATATTCTGCTACAATTCTTTGGTGAAAATAACCCAAATCAGTATTTATTTAGTCTGTAGAAAAGTTATAGAGTTCACAAACTATGGTATATATTTGTAAATTGATCAATCCTGAAATCTAATTTCTTAAGGCCCCAAAATGTCAGGATAGTACAGATATCCCCAAATGACCCCTTTTTTGGAAGTAGACAGTCTGCAGTATTTAGTAAGAAGCATGGTGAGTTTTTTTATGTAATTTATTGTCATAATGTTTTGGAAAATTAATAAATTAACAAAAAACATTTTTTGCACTTTTTTTTTACATACTATCACCAGTGCAGTGTGATCATATAACTGGTGTGGCTGTGATCAGGGACACTGACTGGTGACCGTGTGGAAAAAAAAAATATATATAATATATATATTTTTTTAAAAATTCTCTTACATTTTTTCTCTATGATTTTTTTTTTTTTTATAAAACACTGTGACCAGAGTAATATAAAGTTACCATTCTAACATTTTACTACTCTGGGGAAGTGATCAGTATTTTTTTTTTTTTTTTTTACACATTATGATTGCCTATAGCAGTGAATTTCACTGCTGTAGCAACCATTTAACAGAATGAAATTGATTAATTCTGTATTTTTGTTGTGATTAGCTGTGATTGGCCACAGCTAATCACATGACCAGGGGCAGACTGACCATTTGGAAACTCGGGCACTGCCCAAGAGCCCGGGGTCAGTAGGGGGCCCCATGAGATGCCCCTGGTACCTTTTTCATAGGCTTTTTTGAGTTTGGGCAAGGACACAGGGGCCCCATGATCCCCTATTGCCCGGGGGCCCCATGAGTTGTCAGTCCGCCCCTGCACATGACATAGATGGGCTGTGATTACTGTGACCAATCACAGCTAGCAACACAATTGTATACAATGGATGGCATGAAAGGAAGTCATCCATTGTTTACAATTGTCATGTGACCTGCTGTGATTGGTCACAGCAGTCACATGGTACCATCAACGGATCGGTAAACAAATCGGTTATCCAATGGACACAGTTGGTGACAGATTTTGCCACAGCGCAGCCCCATGGCTCACGTGTGGCGGATATCATATTACATCCACCTGGATCAATGAAAGTCCTGATTGGCCATCATTTTGTTATTGGCCAGGTGGGAACTGGTTAAAAAGTGACAGTTATTTTCACCTGAATCCAAGATTTTAAAAAAAACATTGTCACATGAATAAAATATAGAACCTTGTCCATGTGGGAATGGTGTGTGAATTGAGTTTATTGTCTTTGTGTATGGGTCTCTCAAACAATTTTACTATAGTTACCGTCACAGTTGCTATTTGTCTGGACAGCCCAAATCTTCCAGATATGACAACACGACAATTATTGTAGCCCCCACTGCATTATATCCACTGCTGAGAGGGAAGTCTTAGCAGACCCAGACTGGCAAATTGGCGATTCTACCATTTACAATGCAGGGCTTCTTGTATGCTGGTGATGGCTCATTGGAGCTTCTATAGCTTACTCCAACATTAGAGGTGACAATAAGGTCTACAGTTTCCAACAGTGTACTACAGAGACCTGTCTAGTTTTATTGAACCTACAATCAGGCAATATGCAGCTGCCATATGAATTCCTAGCACATCAAACTCCT